AAAAAAAAAAAAAAAAAAAAACAAACCCACTTAACACAAAGAAAATATTTACATATACCGAGTATTACAAACATTCGGTAATATTTTGTGTCTGGAAATGTCAGCAGAGTTGTTCTTAAAAGATTTTTTTCTTCAGTAGTCCTAAAATCTACACGTGAAATATAGTCCTTACCAAGTAGATTACGGAGTTTTTTTTTTTTGAAAAAAACTCAATCTTTTGTATATTAACGCAATAAGATCCATAAAATAGGCATGAGCTAACAAATGGACTTTTTTTTGCAAAAAAACCCAATCTTTTGTGATATTAACGCAATAAGATCCATGAAATGGGCATGGACCTTAAGACGACATGAAATTTCCTTTTGAGTTAATTGATTTAAAAATTAAGTTCATTTTTCCCAACTCAGTTAATTTAGCCGCGTAATTTGAGTAATTTAGTTTTTCAGGTTGCCCAGTGAACTTTGAGATACAAAACTACACAATAATAACGAGCCAATGCAAGGGGCCGGAGTACGCGCCAAAGCAATGCTGCAATGCTCTTTTGCAATTCGCCTGTCCGTACGCCGCCGATATTAACGACGTCGCCACCGATTGCGCCGACGCTATGTTCAGCTACATCAACCTCTACGGGAAGTACCCGCCGGGACTGTTCGCCAACGAGTGCAGGGGAGATAAGCTCGGCCTCCGGTGCAACGAAACTGCTCCGGCAACGGCGGCGGAGGCTTCAGATCACGGCGGCTGCCGCAGTCCTCTCTTGCTTGCACTTGTTGCTTTTCTAATACCAGTCATGTTGTGACAACCAAAATGCTTTTCTGTTTTGATCTTTTTGATCAAGTGACACACAACTTTGATAAAATATTATGAGAAGTTTATTTAAGTTTATCTTAGTATATAGTTTTTTAATATATCAAATTTTATTGGAGTATCATTTATGAAAAAAAGTGCACTGTTTATCATTTGTTTATTTAGATTATACTTAATATATGGTCAAAGATTATCACTATTTGACAAAAAAAATCAAAATACTACCTGCTTTTAAGACTGGTCAAGAGAATATATAAAACGAAATTACGTGTATCACTATCAATGATGCTTTGAATACTTCTTTCCATGTTTAGTCTTACTTTTCTTCAATTATAGAGGATTAAAAAACCTTTTAGCCGATTGTGGCGAAGTTTTTCAATTTTCATCTCGTGAATCACTCTGCCAATGAGGCAACACATGTCATGAAACGTGCATCTTATTTTTCTCAAGGGGTGAATGGCCCCCAAGAAGTATTGCCTAGTTTATATAATCCATTTATTAGGTTTCAAAAAACAAAATTAATTTTGGGTTTATTACCCAAAAAAGGGGCAATCTATTTTAACACATACCAAAATTTGACAATATGTGTCTCACAAAATGTATAAATAATACTTGTGTGTGGCATCAATAATGACTATGTGTCCATATCTGTGAAATATATAATATAAAACGTAGTGTGAATGTAACACAAGCTAACAAAACCTAATTAACATTTGAAAGTGGTTATAAATTAGTCTCTTATTATATACTCTCTTCCTCAATATTTTTTACTCAGTTCATCTTTCACAAAATTTATGAACAAATATTAACAAGTGAAAGATGAATAATTCAAATTTATTTGGATAAAAGAGATCTTATAAATTTTATTACATATTAGAAGTAACTATTGTCGTTGGTTATTTTTGTACTCTAAAATTTTCCGTTTTCATGTATTAAATTATGACGTGCCTTCGTGTTTCTTATTTGCAACATTAATTTTAGAAGCTTCAAAGTACTTGCAACAGTTCTATTCTAGTTTGTTGTAAACACATTTATTTTTTATGCTTATCTTCATTCTTATTGTAGAACGAATGACGTATACTACTACAAATATTTAGACCAACATCGACTTAAAGCGAGTTGAGTATCAATTTTAAAATAACGCGTCTTCTAAATTTTTGATATGAAATACAAATAAAAGCCACTAACATATATATTATCTATTATAATCAGAAGATAATCTTTTTTCTTTTATTGAAAATAATTTAAATCTAGGATTTGAAAAGTGATAGAGATCTCATTAGATGAGAGACATGTGTTCCCCTATTTGTGTTAAGCTTGATCGGTGACACTAGTTTCTTTCGATACGAGATTTACACTTCTAAATTTTTAAACTTAATTATTTTCAATCAGAGAATCATAAATATGTACTATGATATTTGGGTACATTTTCATTTCCATATAAGAAATATAAGATGTAAAAATCAAAATTGAGTTCTAACATAGGCTAATTAATAACTCAGAATCGATAGGGTACAATAAAAAATAATAGTATGTCATAAACGGCGGCTTAATGACGTGCCTTTTGAATTGATTCACGATGTCCAAAAGTCCAAAATAAACAAGGCGAACATATACACATCGTATATTCTTTGAATAAATAAATGCTCTGTATTACACACAGTTATTTATTTGATTTTAAGTTTAAAATAATAAACTAAATATTTAAAACCAAATATTGTCCACCTCCTTCCCTAGCTCTTCTTCCAAATTTATTGAAACAAATTAGGACTTTATTTCAATCTCCTCCAACTAAACTCAACCTAATTGTTGATTAGACATAGATAATGCCATGTGGACCATCTGGCGGGGTATGGAAGAAGGATTTGTATAATGTTAATAATGGTCTTAATCTTCGTTTGAAAAAAGGAGCCAGGACAGTGGGTAAATACAATTTGGGAGGATAATAATGTCCGTAACCGACCTGTATTTCTAAGCCAAATCTGTCACTTTCAATCCCCATTTTCTCAACAGGGACGACTCGTCTCTATGGATAAACCCAACCCCCACTCCGATGCTTGTTGAGATCTGCGGCCCAGAAACCGCAATTCCTCCATCGCGCGACCCTAATTTTATTGTTCCGATCGTCTATCGGGTTGCCCAGTTCCGTGAATTTCGTGATCTCGGTTCTTGATCGGCGGAGCTGGACAATTTTGCAATCGCGATTCTTCTCGAAGGTCAGATGTGCATGAATTCTGTTGTGTGTGATTCGGGCATGATTGTTTTGATCTATGCGATGTTAATTTAAGATTGATTTGAGAGATCTTCTTGTAAAGCTGGGTTTTTTTTTTGAAGATTAATTCTCGGTGCATCGTTATTCCGCCCGATTTCTTGATTGTGAGGGTTTTGGTTTTATGAATTTGATCAAGAAGTGCGAATTCACAAGTTTTTTTTTCCCGTGCGTTATTTACCAACTACCAAGTAGTAATTGTTTAATTGGAGACCAAGATTTTTTGGGCATCTCTTTAGGATTGAATTGGCTGTTATGGTTGGGTGATTGAAGAGGGAGAGCAGATACCTATTGATGGCGGAATAGAATATGAAGACCAATACTTTCTATTTTTAAATTCGCTTCTTCAATGGCGTGTAGTAGGCTTCATGTTGTTTTTTCCTACATGGATTAAACCCACATGTTTCTCTAATTTCGACTGTGATGCATAAGCAATTCACTAACTAATTTGTTTTAGTGTTAGAGAAGTGGGTTCACAGCATATCATGTCTAATCAAGGGGATGATGCTGATTACATGGCCGATGAGTATGAAATGGACGACGTGGATGATATGGAATATGAGTTTCATGGCAGAGAAGTGGCGGGTTCAGACTCAGATGTGGATGAATATGACTACATGGTCTGCACACTTGCATGTGAAATTTAAGTGATTAACTGATAATGTTATTTTCCACCATTTTTTGTGTGGCTTATGTTTTACCATAAGTTCATTCTCTCTTTGGTTCCAACATAGAACAATAAAATGCAAGACACGTCTGCTGCTGAGGCCAGGAGAGGGAAAGACATACAAGGGATTCCTTGGGATAGACTTAGCATAACCAGGGAGAAATATAGAAAGACTAGACTTGAGCAGTACAAGAACTATGAGAATATTCCTCAATCTGGTGATATATCAGAGAAAGTATACCTATATCTGTCTTTTGGCATTCTTTTTGTTGCTATTTGGTTTGTTTTTGTCACTGGGTCATGATACTGTATCAATTTTTTTGGACAGGAATGTAAATCCACAGAAAAGGGGAATTGTTATTATGAGTTTAGGCGTAATTCAAGATCTGTAAAGTCGACAATTTTACACTTCCAGGTAACAGTTTCTTAATTTAGTTTCTTAAGCAATATGTTCCATTTCTCTATGCCCATACTACCTTTTTTGCATTCATTGGTTGTTTGCAATGATTAATCATTCTTTACTTTATTTTTTATATAATATTCATATCATTTTTCTTATCCATAACAAAATGTATTTTAGACTTTTAGTGTTATTTGGTGGGAATGATATTTAACACTAGCTGCTGGGTTAATTTCATTTTTTAGAAAAATTTATGACATGGTAAGTACTACGTACTAATTTGTAAACATGTAACAGTTTGCATACAATCTTTGAAGTCATGGAGCTATCTCTTGAATACCCACCCGGGGTAACATGAATGATATACTCTGTATTTAAGATGAATACTTATATTGGAGATAAAAGATTGATTGATATTTAAATTTTTTGTGATGTCTTTGTCCTGTATATGCTGCACCAGATTATGTGATGTTTTCCATTTAAAACTGATTCTTGTTTTTTGTGTTGTGACATAGTTGAGGAATTTAGTATGGGCAACTTCAAAACATGATGTCTATCTGATGTCACATTTCTCCATTATTCATTGGTCTTCTTTGAGTTGCACCAAGAGTGAAGTTCTCAATGTCTCGGGACATGTAGCACCATCGGAGGCAAGTATTTTGGATGCTTTCTTCTTGCACTTTTCAAGGATACATGCGTGCATTATCTTCACTCATAATTTTAAATTTTGATCCACATGATTATCTGCTTTATCAATGCAGAAACATCCCGGAAGCTTATTGGAAGGCTTCACGCAGACTCAAGTCAGCACTTTAGCTGTGAAGGATAATCTTCTTGTTGCTGGTGGGTTTCAAGGAGAGCTTATTTGCAAGGTATGTGCTCTTCGTGTTGTACACGTGGAATGATTTTAGACTAAGCTATTCTCAATTCAGTTCTGAGTATATGACATCTGTCCCCATTTTCCAAATTGAATTAGTTTCTCACATACCTTTTTTGTTCGTCTTAAAATTATCTTATACGAAGTAATCTTATTTTTAGGAAATAACATTGTGCTTCATGTGTTTTCTCCTCTTTCTCATTAACATCAACCACATAGTTTTACTTCTTAAATAAGCATGCCAAAAGCAAAATAGAATTAATTTACGGTAGCATTTAAGCAAATTATTAAAAGAAAGATGAAGATGTAGATCCTGTTTGGTAAGGCCTAAATTGTCCCAATTAGTTGAAACTTCTGAGTTGGTGGCTATATATGCTGACTTATCTAAAAAAAGTGTTATCTTATTTAAATTAAAGAATATTGTGGATTATTTAAAGATGAAGTGTTATCATTTTCTTCCTTTCCAGCACAAAAAAAGCTTCGGCAAGACCTTTTTTCATTAAGATAGATTCCATCAGTCTGGTGTAATAAAAATGTTTTTGATTTATGTTTAAAACACCATAGAATAATTTAGTTTTCTGTTAAAAACAATTTAAAAGTCTTTTTGACTAGCAGAAAAACTTACCACATAGGCACACCGCTTGAGGAATGGTACTGTGTCATCTAAAATGGAACTGTGTGGAGCGTTGAATAAAGTTAGTGATTCCATCACTTGCATCCATTGCATGTGATTTGGTTAGGACTCCTAGGAGTTGTTCTTTATTTAGATTTTTCCTTTTTGAAGATTGTGTTCCTTTTCTACATGGTGAAGTTTGACTTCAGTAGTTCTGGTTGTCTCTGTTCATTCCTACGTCCCGACCTCATCATTGGTGAATGATTTTGCTAACCGTTTTCATGTTTATGATCTATATATAGTATTTAGACAGGCCTGGAATTTGCTTCTGTTCCCGCACAACATATGATGATAATGCCATAACTAATGCTGTTGAGATACACAACTCTCCCAGGTACTTTTTTTTATAAAAAATAATAATTAACCACTTATCTCAACAGGGCTGATTTATATTGGAAAGTCATCAACTTTGAGATAATCCTTTGCCCCAAAGGGACCTGCCCACGACACCCACATATGTGAATCTAATGAACTTTAAAATAATAATCGTATTTGGTTATGTTCAAATGTGGGCAAAGCTTATTGTTTCTTCATTCACCAGTGGTGCAGTTCATTTCATAGCATCAAATAATGATTCCGGAGTACGAGCTTTTGATATGGAGAAGTTTCAACTGTCTAAGCATTTCCGGTTTCCGTGGCCCGTTAACGTAAGCCCATTGCATGTGGACTATATATTTACCCATTATGTTATCTACGATCCAATCTAGATATCTTAGCATGTTTTGGATGCTACATTGCTATCCTTTTTTGGAAACTGGCTATGATAAAATGCATTTACTTTGTGGATGTTATGTATTAATTAACCAAGAGAAATTTCTTCATGCCTTCCCAGCACACAGCTTTGAGCCCAGATGGTAAGCTGCTTGTTATTGTTGGAGATAACCCCAGTGGTCTGCTAGTTGATTCTAGAAGTGGAAAGGTCTGTCCCCCTATCTGCTAGTGGATTTTAATGGTAATGATTGTTTGGGTGTGAAAAATCAAAACAGCATCTGACCTGATAACAACAGGTTGTTGCACCTCTGGAAGGGCACTTGGACTACTCATTTGCATCATCATGGCACCCCGACGGTGTGACATTTGCAACCGGAAACCAGGACAGGACCTGCAGAGTTTGGGACGTGCGCAACTTGTCCAAGTCAGTATGTGCTTTGAAGGGCAACCTGGGAGCCATTCGGTCCATTCGGTACTCATCCGACGGGAGATTCATGGCCATGGCGGAGCCCGCGGACTTTGTTCATGTCTTTGACGTGAAGAGCGGGTACGCAAAGGAGCAGGAGATTGACTTCTTTGGTGAGATATCGGGCATGTCATTCAGCCCGGACACGGAGTCCCTTTTCATTGGGGTTTGGGATCGCACGTACGGAAGCCTCCTAGAGTTTGGACGCCGTCGTAACTACTCCTACTTAGATGCCTTCCTCTAATAGCAATAAAAGAAACAAACACTCAAAACACAAACACAGCCATGACCATTTCTGTGGAGGGTTCGATTCGATTCGCGTCCATTGGTGGCAAATGGGTGTGTGCCCGAACCACATCGGCCTATATAGTACTCCATCATGCACCACAAATAGGAGGGAGACTCTTCAGCTGTAAAATTTCTCATGTTGTGCTATGTGGGCTTTTTCTTTCTTCTTTTCTTCTTTTTTTTTCTCTTTGAAATGAAATTGTTGTGACATTTTCCATAAATGTAGAATGGGAGGAATGTATAGAAGGCCAGAAGAAAAGGAAGAGGGCATAAAAAAGTGATGGGTGGGGGGGGGTGGACTTGTCACATTTGTCTGAGACTTTGTTGGCAACTTTGTACTGATGAGTGATGGAGTCTGCATTCATTCACTCCAATTTGCATTAGTGTGTGCATTCATTATATATAACCTCAGTAGTTTTGTTAGAGCATAAAATATTTTAGTTCCAATGTTGTATTTGTTGGAAAAGTTGGTTTCTTGGTGTGGTTTTATGTGCCAAAGGGATTTTCTTGGTGTGGTTTTATAAGGATAAAGTTGGTTTCTTTGGTGTGCTTTGCTTATGGGTCACCAAACTCTTGTTAAGGGGCAAAGTGGAAATGTATACAATTTGTTCTTGAAAACAATTTCAACGATGTGTGCATGAGAGTATAAGGGCAAAGCTGTATTTTCAGCTCTCAGAATTATCTCTTTTTTTATCGCTTTAACTCTCTATTTGAGTATTTATAACATAGAATTATAGAAGTACGGAGTAATATTTAACCAAAGATTAGAAAAATACTACTACTCCATAATATTTAACCAAAGATTATAGAAGTACGGAGTGATATAGAAGACACTACTTCGATTCAGACACTTACAATATTCTGTTCGTAATATGGATAGTTCCTATCTTCTTAACCACTGGTAAATCTCCACCCAGTCCTGACCTCAACTCATCTCCCCACCTATGTCAATTGCACCCTGCAAGTTTAACTGACTTTGTAGTCAAGCTTTTTTTTAAAGTCAAATAAATTTGCGAGGTGCAATTGACATGAGTGAAGGATGTGTTAGAGTCGGGACTGAGCGAGAAGGGGGGGGGGATTTACCGGAGGAAGTTGGGACAGGATATGAACCATCAATTTCACAAATGGAGCACATAGAGTTTCACAAATGGAGCACATAGAGTGGGAGTAGCTTTCGTGGTCACTCAAAACGAGTGACAATTGAACCTAGCCGATATTTAGGATAGCTAGTACTTGTTCTTGCTTTTGCTGAAAATGTACTCTTATTTCTGTCTCATTATAAGTTATCTATTGTTGTTTACAATGTTTGACTGAAGTTATCTGTTGTTGTTTACATATTTAAAAAATATATCAAAAGATCCACAAACAAGATTTGGTATAATTATACTCCGTATTATTTTATCATTTGAGTAACAAAAATGATTTAGATTTGATCTTGTTAACAGAAAACATGCTACTTAAATTAAGACAAAGAGAATAAGTTAACTTTTTGTGGTTTTTAAGGAGAGAAAAAAGTGTGTTTGCTAGTGTATCTTTAATGAAATTAGGTAAAGTATACGGATTGAGATTGGTAAGGTGCAATAAATACAGTGAGGGCAGTGAGAAGATTTTTCTAAGACAAACAAAAATAACATTCGGGAAGATATATGACACACTAATAGAGTAATAATAATAGTTTCATATGACGGTTCATTATATGCGACACGCCGACACCCTCAGATTCGTAGTAGGTTCAGAAGCAAATGTCCATTATATTAGGGCTCAAAATCGGGTTGAGACAGGCACAAGAGTGGCTTTTGGCTCTTGAAATGAAGTATTTATCTCAAATGTCAAAACTACTACACAAAAGTACATGGAGATCATTTGAAAGGACACTATCAAGATAGCATAAACAAGGTTCAAGTTGTCTTATAACATTATATAGTTACAAAAGCTAAGAGAAGAACTTGGATCTTTTAAACTAAGTGGGTACAACAACCTCATTCTCACCATGATGATTTGACAACCGGAACTTGAGCCACCCAACAACGATTGCTAGGAGTACCAGCTGCAAAAAGAAGCAAAAAACGTGTTTAAAAGCACGCTTCTGGAGCCTTAATGTGCCATCGGCAGTATTGATCATATTTTCACAGTAACTCTGCAACTTCTCTTGTTTATCCTTGAGCATTGCAGCTTTTTGTTCAGCATTTCGCAGTTTGTTTGCCATTTCTGCTTGTTCTGAAGCTAGAGCCTTTTGTGCTTCTAAGAGTGTTCTTTGATCAGCTGCTACCGCCTTTGACACCAAGACCTCAACTTCAGCTTCAATCTTCTCTCTGAAGAGGTTCTCGAGTTCTGTTTCCATATGCGTGCGAAACTGCACTGTTGTCCCTTTTTGTAAGCCATCATCCCTATCTGATTGGAACAGTTGGGCTGCGTTGGGGAAATGATTTGGACCGGCTGAAGTGAACTCCAAAGCTTCACTGCCATCTTGAGACGAAAAATCAACCAGAATATCTTCTGTTGCTATTTGTTTTAATTTTTCAACCTCTGCCCAATGATAAAAAGTTTTTGTAATGAGATTCTGCCCAACTAACAGTCAACAAACTAATGGAACTTAAACACCAACTGGAAGATTTGCGATATCACAATTTGGATTTCAATAAGAGTAATAACAAACACATCAGTCATGCTCAAAACCACATAGAAAATTGTAGAAATAAAATTTAGCGGCCATTTTGGGAAATTCTTGGAGTAAGAAGGGAGAATTATAGAATCCGTAACATGTGACCAAATGCGTGCTAGTAAAAAAACATCGCATGTGATACGCTTTCATATTCTACTTACTCCGTAATTAATAAGGATAAACATGTGTTCCAAATCAACTCCAACACCCAAGAATCCATGTGCCCATTATTCAAAATTGTGCTCACAAACAACCAATGACCATAAGAATTAAACGATGCAATTATAAGTAGATACTCTGTATTTAGTTATCATTTTCTTTTGCAAAAGGTATGACTATAAAAGCAAAGCACACAACATTAATATAAGGCAATGAATGCACATTATTTCTCAAGAGATCTAACATGGAAGGAGGACCAACCCTTTTTAAGTGCTTCCTGTGCAGCTTGGAGTTTGAAAATCGATTCAATTGCAGGATCACAACTTGATGACGAATCTTGGTTCTCATTCTTATCATCTTTTTCTTCCCAAGTCGACTCAGCAGATAGACCTTCCTGCAATGTATCTTCAAACTCTCCTCTATTTCCCTCCTCATTGTAAATAGCTGGAAGGTCAACATTTGCTTTTCCACCACAATTCAGATCTTCGGCATCTCTATTTTCTCCTTTTGTCTCATTACTTTTCAAACAATCTTTGCCCTGCATGAACACAAAGTTGGAGCTTCTTGAGTCGGATTCCAAGCTGGAATAAGAGTTTTCCTTCTCAATTTTGAACCTTTCTGCTCTATGCTTCTTACTAGATTCTATCCCGGCCATTCGCTGTCGGCCTTTATTCTGAACTGAAGCACCCGAATTTCTTTGGCTAAAATTCACCATGATTTTCTTATTTGGAGCACTAGCGGCAGTTGAAGACTTACTACTACTATCCTCCTCGCTGTTATCAGAATCCGCACCAGCCACGAATGCATGATCATAGAAATCAACTGGCTTATCATACAAGCCCAGATTACTCACAAATTCATTAGGGGAAGAAACAGTCTCATCACTCCGTTGTGAGGTTCCTCCATACAAATGCACAGATTTTGCAGAACTCCTACTTGAAGCCGGCAGACCACGCTTCATGATCCCCGCACTACCATCTACTATATTGTTCTCTCCCTCATTCCTCACTTCCCCCCTTCTGATCCTCCGCCACTTCTTCAGTCCATACCCTTTTCTCTTAGGCTCAGACGCCGGTTTTTTCACAGCCTCCTCAGTAGCTTCAAATGTCACCCCCTTACTTCCTATTGATTCATCAATCTGCTCATCACTATGATTTCTATTACCTTCGTCTTCGTTATCATCAATACCACCAATCAATTTCTCAGAGTTTGTATTGATGATAACTGTTTCACTCTCCCTCACCGGTTGAGATGCAGAACACTTGCCCTCAACCTCCATGGCTTCCAAAAATGCAAATGATTTAAGCTCGAAACCAACAATGGCGCTCAGATCAAGATCGAAACACTATAACCTCGCAATTCCAGCATCGGATAGCAAACAGATCCGCGAACCTCACCCGAATTGTGCCGAAAATCTTAGCACCGCCGCATTATCGTTTTGTGATCCGATGGAAACTAACGAAAATAACAACAATACGGAATCGAAATTAAGAAACAGCGTACCTTTTGCGCCATAACTGATAAGGCATCGGCGGCGAGAGATTCCGGCGAACAGAAACCCTAAACGCCACCGGGGATGTGGATGAATGGACACGAAATTGCGATTGCGGAGTTATAACCAACAAATTTAAATCAAAATGAAGTGAAATTCGTTTGAAATTTTCGCAATTTTTTTTCTGGAAAATCTCGTTTCCAGATGCGAGAAAGTGCTCCGTACGGGGGCGGTGTGATGATGATGATGGGATGCCGCCCACATGACGTGTCTGGCGACTCAGTGAGTTAACGAGTTGAATAGATCTAAACCCGGTGGGTAATGCCGTACGCTCTTGGGCCGACATCGTGCATGTTCATAGGCCCTTTAACTTAAACAAAACAAATGGAATTATGTATCCACAAAAAAAAAGTACTGTACTTTAATTTGTAAATAGATACATAATATACATATTTTTTTTTCTATTATTTTTTTTTATAATTCATTCTAATATTATACCCAAAAAAGTATTGTCACTCAAAATCTAAATGAATCACTATCTTTTGGAATAAAATTAATTTAAAAAGTGTTTAAATATGTATTCTAAGCATTAGATATATGGACCTTTCTTATTTGTCTACAATTATACTTTGATCAGAAATTAAATATAATTTAAAATAATTAAATATTATAAAAATTGATATTTTAAAACTATATTTTAAAATTAACCTAATTTTATTAAATTGATATTATGACTAAATATACTTTTTATATAATTCACGATCAAGAGTGCCACGATTTGATAAAAAATGTCAAACCGTGACAATCTTTTTGAGACGGAGAAAATATGTTATTATTGACACCTCTTTTGTATCTCTTTTTTTTGTCACTTAATACTAGCTAGGCCGTGACATTACCAAAGAATAATGACAATCGATCTTCAATTATTATGCCCAAACATACCAAACATGTAAATCAAGTGTACATCACCAATATATACAAGCTTACTCGATCTTTTTTTATGGTGTGTTTGGTTGGACGTATTATATATTTTTGTGAAAATTTTGATTTCATTTTCATGTGTTTGGTGACATTAGTGGAAGAAAAATATTTTTTTTACCTAACACTGAATTATATGATTGAAGAATAATTTTTTTTAAAATTCTTTTATTTTAGAAAAAATTTTACCACCAAACAAACACAACCTTAATGGAGCTTACTCGATCTAAATCAACCAAAAAAGGCAAATACATCATAAAGGGAAAATTACATTATTGCGCATAGTAAATTGTGGCTTACTTTGTGAACGAATAATATAAAGGGGAAGTTGATTAAGGTATAGCTAGCTTTTACTATAACGGACAAGAAATTTTGGTTGCACTTGAAAACATGTCAATTAGGGGTGGGCACGGATCGGGACGGTCCGGTTTTAGGTTGTCCCACGTCTTGTCCCGTTATATATAAACGGTCCGGAACGGTTCGGATTACAATCTTATCCCGGTTTGTCCCATAAAATTCGGGATCGGAATAAAACGGGACGGATTCGGGTCGTCCTACTTTGTCCTAATCGCAAATATAAGAAGGGGAAGAGGGTGAAATTTCATTCAAAAAAAAAGAAACATCTAGCCATCCAACAAAAAACAATGAGCGGAACGGGTCCAAATAAATTTCAAGCTCATGAAGTTAATTTAATTAAATAACTAATTAATTAAAGAATGAGTTTATTTGGATTTTGGACTAGAATTAGTATTATATATTAGTAGAGTAGATGAAACGGGACAAACGGGACGGATCGGTATAAATTTAAGCTGTCCTGCTCATGTCCCATTTGATATTGGGACGGAACGGGTTCGGGACCAAAAAAACGTGTCCCAATATATCGGTACAATTACAAAACGGATCCGGGATTTTTCAGAACGGTCCAACGGGAACAGATTTCACGCCCACCCCTAATGTCAATTATCAAAGTGGTCCTTTCAAATTAAGTACGTTGCTCTCACCCCGAATAGGCTCATAGACTTCATTTCAAGAAAATATTTATTTGGAAATTATCAGTTTGTAAATATACTTAATTATAAAGGAATATCTTCAGAACATATTTTAAGTTCAGATGATAAAAAATACCAAAATATCTTACATTTGACTGATATTTAATAGACATTTTTGAAAGAAGACTACTCAGAAAATACATTTGAATTACAAATTAAATGACCACATTAGTAATTATTGTTTATTGAAGACCAATTTGAAAAAACACATTATTAGAAAGAATCGTTTTGAAAATTTACTCTTCTATTTAAATCTTTTAAGTTATATTTTTCTTGCATTTCATATAATCCCTGTTCTTTTTAATTTAGTATTTTAAAAATTAATGTACACAATTAAAAAAACAATCTAACTCACAAACTTTATTACAAAATGAAGTCACACGTAGTCCCTTCTCATATATACCATCAAATTGAATCGGCTGGCCAACCCAAAAAGAATTGGCTCATAGATTCAAACAATAATAATCGAGTAAATAATTATGGAAAACAATTAATTACAAATAATATAATTAGAATTTAGGAATGAAAAGTTTTTCTTAACCAAAATATTATTATTACTCGAATATGTTAACTCATATTATATAAAAGAGAATTTATATTGATTATTACTGATAATACATAACAACAACACTATGCAAAAGAGCATAATTAATCAGGAGTATGTTCCATTAGGATCTGCTCATGTGTTTGTTTTCTCTTTCTTTAGTTTAGTCAGACCTATATATATTTATGTAACATTTTATGCCCCCATGCCATGCACCTTAACTCATGTGATCATGATGAGAATCCAGAAGTAGTGTAGTATGCTGATAAAGAAGAAGAAGAAGAAGATGGTAGAAGGTTCCGGCCGGTAGAATATGGAGGAGGAAACATTAGAGGGGGGGCCCCACCGCGGGCTGCGGTGGCGGCGTTCACTCCAAAAGATTCCAACTGGCGGCGATCATTATTATAGCGAAATACACCTCCGTGGCTCGTTACTGGCACGTCATAGCCCGACGAATGCAGCCAGATTCTTTGGTTGCTATTATTAGTATCTTCATGTGGCTTGTAGAACAACACTTGAGGATCTCTGGCCTGAAAGTATGGCTTCTTCGCGACGAAGCTTGTTTGGGATGGTGGGGGCGGATTTGCCTGCGGGGACACGCTCTCGTCGCAGTCTGTGGGGTCCACCGACACGTCCTTCCCCATCAGCCTGATGACGGGCTTGCACGCGGATGATGGACTTGCTGACTCAGCGCGTCCCGCCGGGACCTTGTTGAGTACCTGATGATGATGATGATGATCAGTGTCAACAGAGAGTTTGTAGAGATGTGAGTTTTTCTCAAGGCGTGTGGGACCCACGGGGATCGGTGGGGTGGTATTAGCAGTGGCAGGCTGGGAAAGCTGTGGCGGGTCTTGACAGCTCATCATCGGCAAAGTGTGAAGATGATGATGACGATGATCAATGCTGTCGTTGGACAGGGTGGATTTGTTGTCTTCAGTGGTGGAATACAGCCATGGGTTTCGGCTCGCTGGCTTGTCCGAGGACCTGGTGAAGTTGGAGAGTGTGGTAGTAGCAGAAACAGGAGAAGTCTCCTCTGAAGAAGACTGATAAAGTCTGCTGCTTGCCAGTGATGAATATGCAGCCTGATGAAGATCTTCTTCTTCTTCTTCTAACCTTTCTCCTGAGCAAGTGCGACCGGGACTCGGTATAAAGGACCCCGGTGGGCCCGGTATAGGAATCGAGTCTACCTCAAGATGACCACAATACCCCCCTTGGAATTCATCAGCACTAGTAGTCTTGCCAACATCACAAAAAATCTCATCTTGATCACAAATAAAAGGCCTTTTGAAGTGTTCTTCATCACCAAATAGTGGCGAGTGATCTGCATGCAAATCCAAGCTATCATCATCAGTTCCAGATGCCCCATGTTTGCTAAAATCCATGAACTTTTTCCTGGCATACAACTCTGGGGTGGGGCCCATTTCATCGGGTTCATCATCAGACTCGCCTGATGATGAAACACTACCAAAGCTGAAGGTAGAACTGTTATCATTATTATTCTCATTATCCCTCCCAATATCACGACCGCAATCCTTCTCACATTCCTCCTTTCTGGTCCTCAAAATCCTGGCTTTCTTGGCATCCCGTGTCGGTTGATGTTCATCAATCTGGTCTTCTGCAGAATCATACTGTTTATCATCTGCACGAGACATAGGAACACAAGGGACTTGAGATCTCACAGCTCCTTTCAGTTTCCTTAGAGATGAGAACTTCTTGGCTTTTGATGAGAATGCATGATGATGAGTGTAGATAGATGGTTTACTATGGACAGTGGGATTATCATTCTTGGTGATCCCACCACTGTAATGGGCTGAAGGGTGGTCATATGCTTTTGAAAGTTTTGCTTTTTTGCCCTTTCTTGGCACTGTGTATCTACCGAGCATTGGAAAGCTCGCTTTCTTTTTCAAATAAAGCTGCTCGTTGTGATCATCACTCAACTCGCATTCCAAATCTTCCAATCTCTTGCGGCTTTTGGGTAAACGAGCTGTCTCTAAGGGCGAGTTTAGGTTTCTTGAAGAACAGCTCCGGTTCGCATATGAGTTGCTGAGGTGTTCATTCCCCATCTTGTTGTTATCTTGAGATCTGATGTGCTGGGTTGGACATTGCTCTTTCCGAGTAATTTGCTTTCGAACAAAGCTTCCCTCTTGAACACTTCCCCTCTTCTGTTTTCGCAATAATGAAATAAATGAATATATTCATCTTGTGTTTATTGTTTGAAACATTTAAATCTTATATTCCAGTACAGCTACTAAAGGGTTCACATTTTAGTATGTATTGGTTGAAAATGCATAAAATCAAAGTAAAAAAGCAATGTTTTTTCTTTCTTTAACAAAAAAATGACAACTTCAATATAAAATTGACAGCAGAGAGAGGAGAGGGTGAGGGGTTTGAAGATAAAACAAGTTCAAAGAGTTCCCATTTATGTAGTTACTATTCTTTTAAGCCATGCAGTTCAACCATGAACAGATTTAAGAACACAAAATGTTGGGTGGCCAAACATACCTCTGAAATATGTGGACTGCGAGAGCAAACATTTTTGTTTTGTGCAGCAGACGTCATAATCTTGAGTTGTTTTTGGGAATTGTTCGGATGTTTCTTCATCTTTTTCTTATTGGTGGAAAGGAATTTGGACCCTTTATCACCTTTTGTAAATTTCTTTGAGCAAGTGGCTTTTCCATCATTCAACTTTGATAGTACCCGAAGCTTAGTCCCATTGGCATCAATATAAACTTCCCCTTCGTCACACGTTTTCTCTATATCAACCGGTGATGATTTGTCATTGTTATCATCACCACACTCATCCATCTCTGGTGCAGAAAAGCTCGGACGAACTGCAAGAGTTGTTCCATTTCTTCTGTCAAGATCCTCCAAGGTGCAGTATTGAGCAGTCGCATAGATGTCTGTCATGAGTCTTGTTTTCCTGGGCCTCATCCTTTTCTTGCTAGCTTCACAATTTGAAGACGAAGCCCACTTCACTGTCTTGGGCTCGCCAGAAAGACACCGATCAATGTGAGCATTTAAAGTGGTGTTTGAAGATGATGAAAAATTCTTGCAAACCGGGCATGTTTTTGAAGCCATTGATTCCGAAATTGCAAGATTACTTGTTTTAGTTTCTTCTTCTGTGATGCTGCTCAGTTTGGCTGTTAAGCTGCTCTTCTTACCTGAGAGGACCTTGTTTGGTCCTATAGCTTTAGTTCCAAATTCCAAACAAGAACTCTTAATCGCCGGGACAGAATCAATAACTGAACAAGGAACAACTTTATCTCCTTCTGTTCCACTTGAATTTATGTTAGCAGATTCAGTATGGTGAGAAGTGGGAGGCAAGGAATCATTATCACACGGTGTGGATTGATCGTCGTGCAAAACAATTATATTATCCTGTTTGTCAGCCAAGGTATTTTCAACCACGCGTCTCAAATTGTCTGCAGAATGGAAAGGTGGCAAGAGCTCCTTCACGCCGTGATCCAAACAAAGCTCTAAACTTTTCTCAGAGAAAGGCCAGTTGGTCTTGATATTCTTGCTCCTGCTGCTCAAAACATAATCCCTGCAACACAGTAAGTATAATTATTCATCTAATTTGGGATAATAGGCAAACAAATATTTAAAGATGTAAACTTTGGGTCGAAAAGAAATGAAAAAAAAACAAATCTTGGGAAGAAACTAATTTAATTTCCTAGAAAATTCATGTGGACATGATGATATACTGCTACAGTGGTACAACTCCAAGGATGGGAATTCAAGAATAAAGAAGGTGGAATGGGCTAAGAGGATGACATCAATATGAACATACACATGAAATAACCACTAGGAATTGCTCCTCCAAATTTAGACAGGAGTGGCTTTCAGTTAGATCTTGAAGAAATGCCCCACAGTAACAGTAAGGAATGGTTGAAACTTGAAAGTAACCACTATAGATCTGACCCCCCAGGAAAAGTCTCAAGTAACTCTAGACCAAGATTACACACACATAAACACACTCAAAGTGTGTGATTCTGTGTGTAAATTCTTATATGTGCTAATTAAACTTTTACCTTATGGAGAAATATGGGGGAATATTACTGGTGTTTTTTTCACCAAGGGCTGCCTGGGGCAGATCTACCTTCTCCACAAGCTTACCAGAACAAGTATAAGAAGAAAAAGAAGAAGAAGGCTTTTCATCATCACCACCATTAATGGTTTTCAATGGAGAGGAGGTTATAATCTGGGGAAGATGACAAGTGAGATCTGATGCAGGTGGAGGGTTGTCAATGGATAACATCTGCTGTTAAGCTGTCTTCTCTACCACTCCCTTGTTATACTTATTCTCTTCTTAAAGGTCTCCCATCAGCAAATTAAAGATCTATGAAAACAACCCCTTCTTTTGATTTATCACCTGCACACATATCATGAGAGGAAGACAGTGATGAGTAATTACAGCACCAGATCACTAGATCAAGAGTGGTTTCAAGAAAGACCCATAAATTATTCTTTAAAAAGAAAGATGGTGAAGAAGTTTCCAGACCCAGAAATCACAGCCACAGACGTTATCTTATGTGGTCTATGACAAAAGATGGGTGAGAGTGAATTTGAAGTATAATCAAGAAAGTGCAGAGATTGAACAAGGAAAGAAGCAATTTTGAGAGAGAGAGAGAGAGAGAGAGAGAAGCAAAGTATGTTGAGTGGGGGAAGATGAGGTTATATGAAACATCATGAGACGTTATTTTATGTGGGCAAACCCAAAGACAAAGTAGATGAGATTTCCCAACCTTTTCAAGATGGGAAACAACTAAGCACTTCAATTCTTGGCAAATCAAGACTCTTAACAAATTAATACTGTTCCAAATGGTAATTAACTCACTAAAGATTTGATTTTTTTTCTCCATTCCTTTCCTTTTTGTCCCCAAACCCACAAAATGGAGAAAGGAATGGATCAATGGTATAGACCAGAAGAGATGCTTTCACATGAGATTTCAACTTCAAACCTTTGGTCTCCCCCAGGCCATGACCAGACTGAAAGACCCAAAAGACCCAATCAACTCAGACTTGATCCACACACACAGAAAAAAATGCCAAGAAAGAAAGATGCAAAAACACAAACAGATCACGCAGATCAGAAACCCCGCCACTCTCCATAAGAACCAGAAACAAAACAAAGATCACTCAGCAAAATCAAACAGAGATGGCATGATGAGATGAAGAAGAAACTATGAAACTAAACCACCCAGAAAGGGAGAAGAAAGAAAGTAAGAAATCAAGGGACACTAACTTGATGATGATGATGCAGCTCTTCATGGGGAGAGAAAAATGGCAACTTTTTGACAATAGAAGAAGAAGACCACTGTCCTCCTCCAGAGAGACAAAAATGGGTATTTTAGAGAGAGAGAGTTTAGAGAGAGAGACACCCACTCACACATGAAATGGGTATCGAGTTCTTTCTTCTTCTCACCCCCCAAAAAGCAAGCTTGGATCATTAAAAACACTTCATCCCAAATTAATCATTCCAATTAATTATTTTAATTTGATTTATAATTAAAATTTGCTTGGAAAAGTATACTCACAGAATATTTATTAAATTAATAAAAAATAAGAAAATTACTTTAGATGGGATTAATTTGGAACATAAAAAAAGTATCATATACAAAAATGTATTTTTATCCTAAAATAGGAGTTTGCACTATTGTAATGTGGCACTATATATTAAAATTTCACAACATTTTTTGGTATTGTATATAATCATGATTGTCACTGGAACGAATTTTAAGTTTTATTTTAAAAATAAAAACACGAAAGTTCTACTTTGATGTATTTTCAATATTTTACTCATACTTAAGTCCTTTTTTCCAAATAAGAGGTGCGTTAGGGATCCACCAAGTCCATATCCTGACTTGCACACCGAGTGTATCAGAAACACATCCAAACAACAAGTGTCAGTGAGATTCAAAGACAACGACTCTTATCAGTGTGTGTAAACTGGATCTTAATCGTAGATTGATGACAGTGAGTGGAGCCTGCATCTGGTACTTGCGGAGAATTTATGCTTTATCGTACTCGGATCTACTCCGCACTTCTTAACACTTCTTACATTTGCCAAATGTGCAACGCCGAGCACTGGAAATTTACAAGAAGTAGAGAGAGAAAATGGGAGGGGTAGGAACAGTACATATAAACAGTAGTCGGGTAGTAGTCTAGTGCTACTACATACACACACTATAGGATGCTGTCTTATCCTACACCTACCCCTACCCCTCTGCCCCTCCATTCATCATTTCTTTTTCTTTTCCCCCTGCATTATCAATTCTTGAATCTTGAGCTTTTCATTTTATTTTAATGGAGAATTGCTGGAATGGCAGTTCACGCCACATTGTTTCGTTTATTTACACTATAGCCACGCTCCACCTTTATTAGAATAGAAAAATCAAAGTAGGAAGTCTGTCCTTGAAACGGAAGGGCAAGAGAGAGATTTTAGAGTACGTTCTCCGTCCTAATTTGATTTCATGAGATTTAAAAAATAGGGAGTAATAAATGTTCCCCGCCATGGGAGATTTTTCTACTTTCTAGATATTATTAAGTGTTATTTAAGGAATAAAAAAATTAAGTTCTCTATTAAAAAATGACTTAAGTTTTAGTACTATTTTGTTAAAGAATATCCCACATCGGAACTTGAAGAGAAAATAAACTGGTATATAAGCCCTGAGTTGAACTAACTAATTGATTGGATTCAATCATTTAATGTGGTTCAACCCAAGTGTCTTATTGCCTAATTCAGTTGTCCATATCCATCCTAAATTCTATCATATTTAATGTAAATATTTCTTAATTAAAATTAGTGAAAACAATACCCGAGTATCATGCATCACAGTCTTGTTGAATTATATTTCCTCCATCTGAAATGATTTTTTTAGATGATCTTTTTTAATACGAAAAAAATCAATCTTTTCATTACTTCTCGTTTTCATTTAGGGTTAGGTACAAAATGTTAGTGCAACACTGGCAATTACACTGACATTTTGTAACAGTGTATATCACTGTTTTGCCCGTGCAAAGCATTGGTGTGTAAAATGGTGTACACTTAGATGGCGTACAAATAGCATTATTCAAAATCTCATATTTTTCAAGGCTTCTTAAAAATTATGAAAAGTTCACTTGAAAGGTTCTCTCTCATACGGAGCATAATTACAAACGGGGCGCTAGGAATGAACGTCTAGACGGACACCTTGACAAACGAGGTGGGCCAAAACCTGTTCTGATACAATGATAGAATTTAGGATGGGGCATGGACAACTGAATTGAGCAATAAGACACTTGGGTTGAACCACATTAAAAGATTGAATCCAATCAATTAGTTAGTTCAACTCAAGAGCTTATATACCGATTCTTTTCCTCACACTTTTCCAATGTGAGATACTCTTTAACACCATTATACTGCATAATAAACGAAAAGGAAACGTTGCATTTGTTGATGTACGGGACTGTGGTGTGGGCACATGATGGCATCTTATCATAGCCATGGGGTCGAATTTCAACTTCGAAATGCCATTTCATTTGTTAGTTTCTTCACTTCAAATCGTCAAGAAATTTAATTTTTGTTGACGACGATAAAGAAAATCTATATATTTTTATGGTGATTTATTTTGTATTCAATCTAATAATCTTAATTTTTAAGCGTAGAAATGGGCTCGAACCTTTGATATGGAGAATTGAAGCAGCTTGAGGTGACTTTCTTTTCATTAGGCCATCACCCTTTCACTATCAAATGCGATCAAGATTTCTTCTATCTATTCCATTTCTATGTGCTGGCAAAGAGATTATGACTTCGTTTGGAAATAACATTTGTAATTAGATTTTAAATACTTTTTTAATGATATATATTAACATAAAAAAGTTTAACTTAAAAAATTGAAAGTTGGTTAGTGTTTTCAAAATATTGAAACCATTGCCCTAAACCGTTGTGCGACCTAACGGGAAAAAAAGAAAGTTCATTGAACTTGGTTTGGAAAATGCTAATCATGACCACAATATAATAATAAGACAAACAAAACAAAATAAATAAAAATAAAAGATGACAATGCATGTCCATTTGCATGTGGCTCGAATTTGAGCTTACAAGTTACACACCCTGTCGTTCATTATACGTAATATAATTTACAAGAACGTACTCGTTCTGTCCTGTTTTAAATTTCACAATTTATATTAATGTTCACTATTCATATGGTCAAACTTTATTCATTTTGTTGGTGCATTTTCGTTGCCTATTAAAATAATATACTCATATCACCGCTAGTTTTGTAGATCTTTTCATGTAGTTTTTAAATGAGAGAACTCTCTAGATAGAAGTAAAACATTATGCATAAATAAAAAAAAGGTCGCATGTCTTTTAAGACCAAAATAAGAGTTCACGTTGTCATTATTACACTGTCACACTGACTACATTGTTAAATGGTATCTGTCACACTACCTTTACATTGTAATTGACATATTACGCTCTCATCATTTTTCTATCACAATGCCAATGCAACTCTTACACTACGCTGCCACTATACTCATATTTTGGATATAAGAGACATAGGAGTACTCCTATTTTGACATTTTCAAATTTTTTTACTCTTATGTACGGAGATTTTTTTTTTTAAATATGTAATTTTTATTTTTTTAATTCTATACGATTTTTCATATAAAATGATTTGAAAATAAATTCAGTCAAACATCGTAACGCGCAACAAGAACATTATTATTAGAGAGAGGGAGTATACACATGATTTGGATAGGGAGTATAATAGTACCCCAACAACGTACAAGTCATACATGGAGCATGCATGTAGTTATGCTTCATTAATACGGAGTAATTACCAACGGATACATATATAAGCGCATACAGGGAGTACATGGAGATATTTACCAATCCTAGTAGTGCCCTGGTCCTAGTGTATTTGATTAGTTAGACTTTTTTAAATTAAATTGAATAAACTTTATTCATCAATTACTTTTAATTTCTATTCCATTGTATATTTATACAATATATAAAATAAATTTTGAAATTTTCTCAACAAAATAAATTATTTAATAAAATCATTTTTATACTTAATATACTCCCTCCGTCCTGCTATATTCGTCCACTTTTGACTTTTGGAACTGTTCATCTAAGCATTTTGACTCATCAAGTTCTCTCAATGTGTAAGCCTAAATATAGTCATGTGTGATCTTGTTTGATTTGTCTTAACATATAGATTATTAATATATAATTTCTATAATTTTTTAATATACAAATTACAAGATAAAATGGATTAAAGAAGTGTATTGGATGGTGTGTAAAAATGAAAGTGGACAAATACTCTGGGACGGAGGGAATATATACTAAATACATTAAGAATTTTATTCACTCTATTGCATAAAATACTTCTTTTTTCATTTTTTTTCTCATCAAGAATTTTATTCACTCTATCGCATAAAATACTTCGTTTTCTTAAAATACTTCTTTTTTCATTTTTTTCTCTTTCACGAAAATACTTCTACTTTCTATTAAAAAATAATTTTTACCCATACTTTTTCATACAATATTTATCACATCAAATTTTTTCACTAATAATTTATCTATCGCGTCTTGATTTTACTCATCACATCAAAGATAAAATTAAAAAATCAACTACAAATATACACTCATTATTTTGGTAAAAAGTTAAAATAGGAATGATTCTTAACAAAGGGACGGAGTATGAAAAATGAGACCAAAGTTTGATGTCCTTGATAAAAATAAAAAAACAAAAGAATCCTTCACCATGCACCATTTATGTTACATTTGGTTCGTAGAATTCGAAAGACAAAAAATCATTGTTCTTTTTAGTCATTTTCTCCATCCATTTTCTTTTCCTTTTTCCTAATTTTTCTTCTTTTCTTATCTAACCAAACAAAAAATGGATATATTCTGGAACGTTTAATTTTAATTTCTTTTATTTTCTCGATCAAATTTATTATATTGAACCAAATATAGTGTTAGTGAAACCACAAAATGAAAACAATAGAAGGCCTCCTAATGTCCCTAGTTCATATTCAATGGTCAATCACCACATGCATCACATATATAATGTATGTAGTTCACATTCTCAAAGTCATATATGATGATCCAGTTCACTTTTTTTTCAGTTCACATATTAAAAAAATTGAAATTTGTACTAAACAGTACAAAAACATACTCCCTTCGTCCCAAAAAAAGATTATGTTTCATTTTTTGCGCATCACATAAAACACTTCTATCTCGTTTCAAATGTCAAAAAAACTTTTAAAACAAATTCTACTCACGATAAAGGATAAATATGGTAAATTTTAGGCATTTTAGATGTGAGTAGAAGTATTTTATGAGATGCATAAAAAATGAAACAACGTAATCATCTTTTTTGAACGGAAGGAGTATGTCTTTTCTCAACACACCCTCACTCACTCCCCCCCCCACCCCAAATCAGTTACACACTTACGGTGAAGGGGCGTTGCCCCAATGCAAGTGATAACCATCACTCCGCGGTGACCCTACTCCCTTCTCTTTTTCTTCTTCTTTTTTTTTTTAATATTCATCCAATCAAAATTTAATTAATACATACTCACACTTCACGACTTATTTTCACACCCACCATAACACAGATATTTTTATCACTCTACATCATATTGTTTTACACACCACCAAGCCCCATCAAACCCTTCCATAACACATGATCTAACAATTTTAACCGACCTTATTTATTGAGATCGACGAATTGAAAATTGTATGGTTGAGATACATTGGGATACAATTGAGGTACCCCTATTATTTTTCATTTACGTTTTCAGTGACAATACTTATGAAAAATGTCTGCCTGTAAACTGTAAATTCTTTTGGGTGAAAAATTACGCAATGTTATATGACTAGTAATTAGTGGATGGGAACATATATATGTATCATCAGGTGGAATGATATTTAGCTGACATATTAACAAACAAATTTAAAGTGGTAATGAACCACACGCCAAACATGACGTTGCTGTTCCACATCCCACATGCTTTGCAGCTGTTAAGCGATGGAATTTGACATAGACCTAGCTTGTTTCACATATTAACAATAATAATAATGCTCTTTTGATAGGATGATTAATTTAATCCATTTTTTTAAATTCATTTTATTTATATAATACAGAGTAGTACAAAATTTATATAGAGTATTTCATACGGAGTATGTTTAATTTAAAGATTGCATCAAATAATCTATAAAACAGAAAATGATTGTATTATATTATTTTAACAAGAAAAAAAATTCACAGTATAAATCATAATTACTTTTAAATTCAATGATATAATGATGTCACTGCTCCTACAATTGTACGTTTTATGCTTATATTGGTGATCCATCATGTCACTCACCATATGACGGAGTATGTAAACATACATCAATTCTAAGGATGTAAACAAATAAAATTCTAAGGATATCTCTATGTCATTTATTAAATCTAGAGATAATGGCATGAATTTTTTTCCTTTTGATAAAAGGATTCACTTAAATGAATAAATAGAAAGAACGACGACTTACAAATAGTGTTTGAGACTTTAGTGTTGGGACGAATGAAATACGAAGTATATACTTTTTATTTAAGCAACTACAGTGAAAACTTTATTTCGAAACAAAGGAAGTATTAATTTATGTACACATCACGATTCTTTTGAACAGAGAGGAAGTTTTTCGCCCGAAAGAACACAAGAACATATAGGATGTATGCATGAAAATGACACTCCCTCTCTTCTTCGTTCCAATGTATTCATGAATTCCTAAACTGAAAAAAAGTTAAACTAGACAAGTCCACAAGAACGAAGATTAGGGCTGTTCATCGGTCCAAGACTGGACCGAATCGGACCGACCCGGACCGGACCGAAGACCAAAATGAGTAAATTCTAGGACCGAAGACCGGACCTAAATCCATTCGAGTTTGGACCGGACCGGACCGAAATATTTAGGACCGAACCGGTCCGGACCGATTGGACCAAAAAAATTATATTTTTTTAATTATTTAGATCAATTAAATATATTTTAGACTTTTTACTTTGTACTATTCAAATAGAAAATNTAAAATTACTTAATAAAAAACACTTTAAATTAAATAAATTAAAATATTTATTAAAATAGAGCATCAAAGTGTAATACGAAATTTAAAAAGTAGAGTTTTAGTATTTAGGTCTTTTAGGTCCAGTAGGTCATTAGGTCCAACCGGTCCAATCGGTCCGGACCTAAATCATTTCGGGTTTGGACCGGACCGGACCGAAACCCGAATGCCAAAATTTTCTGGACCGAAGACCGACCCGAAATCCATTCGGTCCGGGTTCGGTCTGGACCTATCGGTCCGGTTCTGTCGGTTTTTTCGGTCCGGACCTAAATGTGAACAGCCCTAACGAAGATAGTATGGAGTATTTAACAAAAGGGGATTTCATGCCAACTTTTCTTGACAAAAAAAGACTAACATGGTTGGCAAATAACCCATAAGTGAAGAGCACAACCAAAGAAATGATACATAAGAAAAATATATATATATGTGAAGTGAATACAGCAATCATGTGATGTGAGTGGGTAAACAGGCACTGCAACTGATAAAGGATATATAAAACAGCAACTGATACAAGGTTAGAGAACCTAGATACAAAGGTTCTCTCCATGGTAGTAGTACTAGTATTGGTACACAACTAATAGGAGTATTATTGATCAGCTAAACCTCAATATGATATGATATGATATGATACACAGGGTGGTTTAAAACGGCCTCCGGTATTCTTGAGGTGGTTGTTCCCACGGGAAGCCTGCAAGAAATAGTTTATCAAAAAGTTTAGTCGAAGAACACAACAGAGCTCAGAAGTAGAGGGACTGTTCCCAAAATACCCTCGGCGACGCACAAACAAAGTAGACCTTCATAGGATTATTTATTAAAAAAAGGAAATGCCAGCAAACATACTCATGGGTATTTCTCCAAGTGACATATAGATTGAATCGTCGTCGCCAAGAAGTCCCTGAAACAAGCAACGAGTCATACAAGTCAATAACACGTGCCGAAAGAAGGCTACTCAACAACTAAACCAGGCCCTAATCCAAGTTACCTCTCCATTATGAAGTCCCATATCATTGTGTAGAACACTCATATCATCTCCACCTGGTACAGAGGAGCAGTTTGGAATATCATTCCCAAGTAGCTCCGATAACATCAGTCCATAGCCATCATGAACATCGGCAATCTCATTCACACTGTTCGCATTGTTATTTGCATATCCGTCGCGGCTTGTTAGTTCTGTTAAGGAACTGCAGAGTGTTTCATGGTTTAGAAACAGAGTTGACGACAATCCAGCGAAATAAAGCTACGCATGATGATAATGCAGAGACCATGCAGAATTGAATATGCCAAACGGATGAATGAAATTGACAAAGGAGATGTAATCCATTAATTAAATCAAGGAAAACTAATTTCACAAACATTATCTGAGCAAAATGAACACTAAAAGAAAGCACAATTATAAAACTAAAACATTAAAAAACTACCTCCCCAGTTGATCATCGAATGGCTTGCCCTCTTGTTCAGAATCGTTTTCCAGATCAATCACTTCGACGTATTTTCCATCGAACCCACAATTGTTATATTTGTCCGGTATGCCACAGTTATTATTCATTGACAAATCAATAGGCAGAGGTTCTTTTCGACTTCCAATAATAGACGGAAAAATGAGATCGGTGTCAACATCATGATTCTCATTCACATCAGCAGCCTCCATAAGATTTAAGTCACAAGTCTTGAATGCACTTGGGAAGAGTTGTTTTTCTTCAAAGTCATCAGTTTGCATGATGTTACCATTTGGGTCGTGCAAATTCTGCAGCTTTTCCTTTTCCTCTAAACCAGAATGGTAAAAGAAACAATCTGACCGAACATCATCTGGTAAAGTCAATTCTAGAGGTTTCATATTTTGCTCCTGCTCATTTTCTTCCTCTAGTTCTTGAATTTTTTCAGGAACTTCCATAATAGTGTCATCTGTGAAAGATACTGAACTCGTACGGTCTTCTTCAACAGGATGAACAGAAGCATTCCTTTCTTCAGGAGGTGTCACACTTAGATTGCCATAACAAGGGGATTTAGTGTCGCAGTTTTGATTAAATGAATCATTCAATGGGATTTCTTCAAATTCCTTAGGTTGTACACACTCATTGGTATCCTTCTCCTCCTCTACTGTGACAGCAGCATCACAGATAACCTTTGAACGTCTAACTGTCAACGAAGAACGGGTTCTCCTAGGAACATTCTCAAATCTGCAGAGGCTAAGCAAGTCAGTGCCTTTCTTGCTTGTAGGTGTCCCTTCTTCCACACGCAACTCAACATGGGAGTCCGTGCCACCATTATCATTGCCACTCTTACTTTCCCCAACTTCACTAGTGGATGTTTCCATGTTGGCAGACATCTGAACATCCTCAGCTTCGTCCTTTGGTGGAAGATCCTTCCGACTACTAGAAGAACTTTCCTTCGAAGCTTTATCGCCCACAGAGTTGTGTTTTTCTAAGGCTAACTCAGAATCACAGGCCGCATTCGCATCAGAACCTGTTTCCGGAATTGTTTTGGCTGATCCTTCTTTAGCAATTTTCTTTAAATCTTGATGCACCGAGGAATCAACACGGCGATCATCTGTCTCAGGAGACGAAGCCCTTGATCTTTTAGAATATGACCCGCTTCTTCCCGTGTCACGGTTCCAATCAGAATCCTTAAAATAGCCATTTCTTCTCCTGCCTCTAAACTGACCCTTGTTAGGGCCAGCTGCACCATAATCATCAGAATACCTCTTCCTCCCTGGCACTATATCAGGTACGTGATTCCCCAGGCGAGAAAGAGCTGATGGTCGGCTCGCCAAAGGCCCAACAGGCAGCGGCTGCATATCACCTCCTTCTTGAGACCGAAAACCGGGGTTGTAATTCCTCAAGTTACCACTCTGCCCCTTCCCCAACAGTACACTTTGTGGCAGCAACCCTTTGCTTACCAAATATTCGGCTGCCATTCGACCAGCCTCCATGAACACATCACTTCTCCGGGGTGAAGGGTCCCGCATAGGAAAGTGCTTCGGCTGAACATGCCCAAACCCATCACGGTTATAGTTCCTGTACTCAGAGCTGTACATTTCATGATGGCCTCTAATGGATCCTTCAGGTGAAATTCGCAACGATGCGGGGACATGGCCCCCACCTACCATCCTCATTGAATTAGACCTATTGTAAGCTGTCACTGGACCTCGATGCCTGGCATGCATTTTTACGAACGGAAAGCTCTCCCAGGAAGAACAGAAAACTCAAACTAGAGCCTTATACCACTGCAATTAACCTGGGTTTTCTCTCCTTTCAGATAATTTGGGGGTAAAAATGTGATCTTTTCTCAGGTGGCTCCTTAATAAGCCCAAGATCCAACAGTCACAGAAGAGAACAAAAAATCTCAAAGCCCTACTTCACAGATCTGCCGATCTATGTGAAAAAAGATTCCACCAATTAAGACAACAGTGAATTTAGTTACCTCTTCCAAAAAAATCAGGGTTCTTGAATTAGAAATTTCAGATCCAAGATCACACCATCTCCATCATCTTCGACAGAGAGTCCAAAAACCTCAAGATCTTAACAAGAAGAGGTATTATCCATATGAAGATTGGGGTCAATTTCTGTTCTTGTTTTGGAATCCACGCCTGGATCCAACAAGAATCGGTAGGGTCAAAATCAGTCCAAGAAAATGCATCCACGTATTATATGCATATATGTAGAGGATATCAAATCATCGAGTGGAGGTCGATGATGGATCCAAGGAAATTTACTTCATTTTCTATTCATGCAAAACCCCATTCCTTTTTTTTTTCTCTTTTTGGTACGAAAGGCTTGAAATGTAAAGAAGCTGCGTGATGATCCCACCAACAGATCTGCTTGATTCAGTGATTTTTTGCAGTAACCACGGTTAATTATAATCGGACCTGAAAGGATCGGTTAATTGGACCGGTTGAATTGAAAATCCAACACCAAAGAGTCCAAACTCCAAACTTGTCCGATTAGGCAGCGTTCCTTTTGTCTCTACTTCCTCCGTCCTAAAATTAATTTCTTATTTTGGCTTTTGGAGTCAAAATTTTTAAACTTTGATTGCATATTACGGAAAAAATATATTGAATTTTCATATAAATTTAGTATCAATATATTCATTTTGAAACATATTTTTGAAATATATTATTTTGATAATATATATACATATAAAATTGGAGATATTAATGGTCAACGTGCCGCATTGGAGACCGTGAAAAGTCAAATGAGAAATTAATTTTAGGACGGAGGGAGTATTTATTTTTATTAGAATTAGATTAGAAACAAATTTAATTATAATTGTAATTAGATCAGACCAGCACATATTTGATATCCTTTACATATATGCATGTATGCTTTGTTTATTGTTTTAGAGGTTTTGTTACTGCTTCAAAATCGCTGCATGATTCAGGCTATTTCCACGACCTGCTCAGAGTGAAAGGCTCACTTCTTGTAACTGATGACAACATTCGCAAGTTTGGGAACTTTTTAAATTACAAAAAGATTGAAGGTTAGTAATGAAGTGACAGAGCTGGAAGATTTGCAAGTTGTTTTGGGAGAAGCCATTCAGTCGCGGGTCAATCTCCATGTCTTGCATATGAGTTATGACTAGTGGGTTCATAAAACCATTTGTATGCAATGAGTATGTGTACTTTTTTACTTAAAAGAGATTGGAAACTTAAGTCTTTGTCGCAACTATCTAAAACTCACACTTTTACTGGATTTCTTTACAGTGCGAGCTAGATCAGACCTTGGGTGTGATGTTCAGTTCTTGGTTCGCCATCATCCCGTCTAGATCTCCTATTTGAATTTGTGAATTTGTGAGTTTATGTAGTTCCTAAAAATAAATAATTACTTGTCTTCTTGAATTATGATTTTCTGTAAAAGAAAAATTATACTATTTTCAATTTTGAATACAAATTTAAATATTTGCAAATATGAGCTCGAATCGAATACAAACCTTTTTTAAAATTCAAATTATTAACGAAATCAAACTCAAATACATACCATCCTAAACAAATACGAATCAAATACATGGATATTTGATTCAATTCGATTCGTATACACTCTTACTTGCACCATGGTACAGATTAAAGATATGGGCTAAGCGATGACCCTTGAATCAAGATAAGATGAATAAATAGAATTTCTTTCTTGCTAAAGAACCTCAACCAATGTCTCACAATAAAAATAGATCTCAACATCACAAATGCCCTGATCCTTAAGCCACATAACACCATCCTTGCATGCAAGCCTTCGCTAGTAACGGTTCTTGTAGCCCCTACTTACGGCCACTAGACGCTGTCTTGAACACATCGCCAAGGGAGAACAACACGTAGCCAAATGAGATGTGATCATGACCCGGGAACAAGCTACCATTGAAGAAGCACCGCACTATCGTTGGCCGAAGATCATCCTCCCATCTCGGCAGCACTTCAGCTGCTCACCCCCTCCTCTTCCCATCCAGTCTTTGTCCATCTCCACCACAAGATGTTGGGTTGAATTGGCAGCAGTGCCTTTTGCTCCCAAATCGTTGAGTTTCTCGCTTTCCACATAGCCCAACAAGTTAAAGCAATAAGACATAGGTCCAACAAAGAATCTGCATGTCATCAAACTTGAAACAAGTTAAATGGCGCACGATCACCTCCTCTACCCATGAGTCTCCAAACTGAATCTGCAAAAAGACAAAATAAGTTAACATGATCAACGATATCGTGGTGCCCCTCACAAAAAGGATAATCGAATTGAATCTAATCAAACTAATGTATAAAATGGTTAAACAAAAAAACCAAAGTTGAATGGAAAAAACAAATTGTTATTACTTGATATTGCTTTTGGTTTTCATTCAAAAAATCGAAACCAAATAACCTGAATATCCAAGATTACATCATTTTATGTATCTATGAAAAACAAAAAAAGTGTAAATATAATACAATGCACCATTTAAGACTTTCATACATCAACTATTACTCTTTAAATTCTATTACGGAGTAGCATAAATGATAAAAATAAAAAATCTAACAACATTAATACTAATTACTCTAATGGGATAATAGCATGGTTGCCCCCTGTGGTTTACAAAAGGAGCGCCAAAACCCCCTTTACTTTCAAAAGTTATTTGTAAAACCCCTGTGGTTTTTAAATAGTGCACAAACAACCCCTCTTGCCTATTTTACACATGAAATGACATTTCTGCCCTTGGTTTTTCTCTATCTTCAAATTTCACTCTTTTCTTTAGATTTTTTGTTATACAAATAAATAAAATAAAATATACGCCCTCTTTCTCAAATTAAAATTTTTTAGTTATTTAATTTTCAAAAAAATAATTTTTTTTAGTAAATGTTACAAAAATGAAATAAAATACACTTTTTCATTATAAGTAAAAGTAAAATAAATAAAATAAAAAATTGGATAACATATACTCTCTATCTCTAATTAAAAATTCTAACTTATTTGTCTTTTAAAAGTAAAATAATTTTTTAAGGACTTTAAAAAATGAAGAACAGAAAGATGAAATAAAATATGGAGTTAAAGAAAAAAACTATTTTTTATATTTTTATTTTTTTTTTCATTACCTTTTTTAACTATTATTACTTTTTACTTTGTACATAATATTTTATTTTTCATTTTTTTGTAACATTCTCCAAAAAAATCTTTTGTTTTCAAAAGTACATTATGAAAAATTCTAATTTGAGATGGGAAGTGTATATTTTATTTTATATATTTGTATAATAAATGAAATTGAAATTGGAAAAATTCAAGATTGGAGAAAACAAAGGGCATAAATGTCATTTTTGCTTTAAAAATAGGTAAGGGGGCATGTGCGCTCTATTTAGAAACCACGAGGACTTTACAAATAACTTTTGAAAACAGAAGGGGTTTTGACGCCTTTTTTGTAAACCATAGGGAGCAACCATGCTATTAACCCTTACTCTAATAATATTAAGATTACTAACTGATGTTTATTCTAGATATTACAATGTAATATTTGTTTATATTCTCAACTTATTAATATGAACTATTGTTCCCACTAGAGTTTAAACATCTAATTTTCCACTTAGAGTGCCTTTTTAACCACCAGGTTCTTGGCTAAAGACTGTAATGAGTATTAATTTGGCTGGTGTCATGTGGTGTCATTTTTAAGACAGTGTTACTCCTTACTAAAGAATGCTAAACAAAATGGAGCATGCTATATGTATCCAAAATTTGTATTTCATTTGTACACCAAAGGTATGTACTAACATATTGATGGTTTATACTGATACAAAATATTGATGTCTTAACAAAAATTTACCCTAACATAAAATGTTGGTGCGTAAACAAAAATTAGCATTACACTAACATAAAATATTGAAGCATTTTTGCTGTGTATAAAATGGGGTACAAATCTAAGCAGCATTTCCAAACAAAAATTAGGCCGAAAACCTCAAATCGTTCCATGCCGTGAGTCGCTAAATCATCAGTTCCTTCAGAGAAATGATATGTCCGATTTCGGGCGGGATGAGGGCGAACCAAGCACAAAACATCACACCCATGGTCTGATCTGGCTGCACTGTCGAGAAATCCGATAAAGGCGTGAGCTTGAGAAAGTTGCGACCAAGACAGTCACCGGAAGTTTTCAAATTATTTTCTTGAACCTGGTATTTTCCAGAATCTGTATTGTCCTAGGAAGTGATCGGAGATTTGGTCCGGGACGATGATGTGAAAGCGAAGGAAATGTCAGGAGGCGAGTACAGCGATCACAACGTGCTGTTACAGCGTCCCGTTTCATCGGCGCCGGAGAAAGAAGGCGATTTGGAGGCTCAGGCGTCGCCCAGGGGTCCCAACAAAGGCATCGCAGATCTGCTGAAGCGGTTGGACCGAAGCCTTTCCGGCCGCAAATCTCCCACTGTAAAACGGCCCAATAGGGACCGGTCCTCTGCCTCTTATTCACCATTGGGCCGCAGCGTCGACCCAGGCAGCTCTGGTAACAATGATGGCGAAGAGGATGAAGTCCTCGGAGATAGTGCCCCGCCGGAATGGGCACTTCTGTTAGTTGGCTGTCTCCTTGGCCTAGCTACTGGGCTCTGCGTGGCCGTGTTTAACAGAGGGGTTAGTTTGAATTTTTCAATGCCACATTCTAGATATTGTTTGATTTAGCTATCACATATAGTCTTAATTTTTTGGATTGCTTTAGTACAGCTGATTTTGTTTACTGCATTTGAAATGATGAAATGCTTCCTTCATAGTTTACAGGAAAGATACGAACTGAACTTTTTTTTAGGTATTGTTTGATTTAGCTAGTCCATGGTAGAAAATGAGAAATCTGGTCTTAATTTTACTGCTAATTTTATTTTTTATCAACATGCTGATTTCCTTGAGGACATAAATTCTAGCTATCAGTTAGGTTATGCTAGGAACTTGGAAAATGGTAGGGGAGGTAATTTTTTAGTTTTACCTTTGAAAACAAGAAGGAAAATAAACTTGATCAAGCATTTTTTCGTACATCTTGATTTATTGGTTTTCATATAGTAGAAATAATGGAACAAATTAGTAGAACTGATTTGTTGAGCTTTGTCATAGAACCAACTCAACCAAAAGTTCAAGTTTGTGGTTGTAGGTCCAAGAATTGTTTTATGCTTTAACACGTCCCTTCACGTGCATTTGAGATTTGTTTTTGTTCAAGCCTTGCACCTGAACATTAAATTTTTTAAATTGGGTATGTAAAAGAACCAGTCAACAAGGCTTAAATGCTATGCCAAAGAACCAACTTAACCAAAAGTTCAAGCTTGTGGTTGTAGGTAATGGGAAATGGAAATGGTTTATACCCTAACAAGCTTGAAGAAGTTTTTACTTTTTCCCCTCATTTTA